AGAAATAAAATTAACCATAAAAAATAATATCATGTTCAAATTCAAATGCTACTTTAGAAATAGTTCTTTAGGTTTTTATTGTCAAAGTAGGATCTACTGTGGAGTTGAAGCTTCAGAACCTGTTACCGAGATTGATGTGCAGGGGTATCACTGGCTATGGGGTCCCAAATTGCACCTCAGAGAAAGAAATCATAAGAGCTTAGGCAGGAATTAAGCCATGATTCAGGCACAGCACTGGTCCTAAGTGATTTCATGAAGAAAATTTGATAATAACTTTGACTGAAAGCAAATTACTTAGCTTTCCATACCATGTGTCATAAGTTGAATGTAAGTCATAGCTCAAAATGTAATACTTTCTCTCTAGACTAGTAGAAGAGGTGTTCATCAGAGAACAAAGACTTTTAATTTGTTGAGCATAGAATGGAAAACTGGAAACTATAACTCCTTCAATGTCATCAGGGTGAGAATAAACTTATACGAACCACAGTAATCCCCCATTTTCAGACGTTTGTTTTTTACTTGAGAGGAAGACACAGCACTATGCAATTGCCATTGAACATGGTAACTGCTGCTCTCAAGGAACTAACTCTAAGCTGAGTTCACAACAATATCTTTGAGGGTCTTCTACTGTCCTATATGAATGTCAACTTCTTGAGTTGTGGCATGCCATAGGAAAAGTAGAACCTATAAACACACATGCTGTAGCATTTCTCAATTTTATAAAAGAATAGCCTTGATCCATAGTGATGATATCTAGGATCTCACACCAGAGGACTAATTAAACTTCAGGTGCTCAAAGCTGGAAGGAACTGTGGTACTGCCAGAAAGAAGTGGGAACAAAATTGAACTTCACTTAATTATGGTCACTTCAGTCTGACATGCCGTCCATTTTAGTATGGAAAGGGCCCAATACAACTAACATCATCAAGTGACATTACTGGTTTTTGAAGGGACGACATGAGGCCTTTGTTGCTGGTAAGTCTGCCATTGGCAGAAATAGCAGTTTTATCAGTTAAAGTTAAGTTAAATTCAAACATATTCTCTGCTTTCTGTTGATGAACATATAGGCTGCTTCTAGGTTTAACCATTAGGGGTTTTGCTACTGTGAACACGGGTAGGCCTAGATCATTCCAATGCCATGTCTTTAATTCTTTGGGGAAAGACAAAGGCTCTAGAAGAACTGGATCAAACATAATTTCTATTTTAAGTTTTATAGAACTCTCCATACTGATTTCCATAGTGGACATACTAGCTGTATATTGCCACCACCAACAAAGAAGTGTTCCTTTCCACACACAGCCTTAACAACATTTACTATTGGATTTCTTGTTGATAGATATTCTTTTGGTATAAGATGAAATTTTAGTATTTTGATTTCTACTTCTGGATTGTCATTTAGTTCACAGAAAATGCTATGGCCTAGATTCCTTCTTCAGGTTTACAGCCATTCTTTACAATACCATTTGATGAAGAGGCTATCTTTTCTCCAGCATATGTTCTTGACTCCTTTTGTCAAAGATCAGGCTTCTGAATGTTCCTTGGGTTGTTTTTGTAACTTCTATTTGGTTATATTGATCTACAGCTTTGTTGTTATTGTTGTTGTTTCTGGGTTTTTTATGCCAGTTCCATGTTGTTTTTGTGTGTCAATGTTTCTTTGTAATGTAACTTGAAATCAGAATTGTGGTGCACTTTGCTTTTTTGTAACTCAGAATTGCTTTTCCTATCCTGGGTCTCTTCTAGTCATCCATGAATTTTAGGATTATTTATTTAGGTCTGTGAGGAAAGCTCTTGGCATTTGGAGTGGAATTATTTTAAGCCTACACATCTGCTTTGTAAATGTGGAGATTTTGACAATGTTGTCTCTGGAAGACTCCCCAAAATCTTTTAATGCCTTCTTAGGATTAGCTGCTAAGTATTCAGTTATTTCTAATTTAGCATGAATGGTCTTGTTTCCTAATTTCTTTCTCATTGGGTTTGTTATTGGTGTACAAGAGTGCTACTTACGTGTGTGAATATTTTTAACCTCTTGTTTATTTATTTGTTCCTTTTCTTTTCCTATATGTATCTCTTTTATTTTGTCCACTTGCCTCATTTTTCAGGTTGCAAGTTTGATTACTACATTGAACATGAGTAGTGTTAGTGGACATCATTGTCTTGTTCCTGATTTTAGAATAAAACCTTTCAAATTTTCTTCCTCCTAATGTGATCTCAGCAGTATGTTTTTGATGGCTTTTATCAAATTTAGAAAATGTCTTTCTATAACATATTTGCTTCAAGGTTTTTATTAGAGCAGATGATGCATTTTTAAATTAATTTTCTGGGTCTATTGAGATGATCATGTGATTGTTTTCCTTGCTTCTATTTATGTGATGCATTGCATTTAGTGATTTGTGTGTGCTGAAGTATTTTAGCATCCCGGGGATGAAGTCTACTTAATCCTAATGTACGATCTTTTTAATTGTTGCATTCTGTTTGCTGGCATCTCATTAAGGATCTTTATATTCATTGGAGAAATTGACTTATAGCTTTCTTTTTTGTTGGGTCTTTTCTGGTTTAAAAAAATAAAAGATTATGTTGGCTTTCAGGAATAAGTCTGACAGTACTCCTTCTGGCATAAGTTATTAAATAGCAGAATATTGACTTTCAATCTTCCATGGAGTTATTGTAAAATTTAATGGTGAGTTTTTGGATTCCTTGTAAAATCTTACTTGGTAGGTTTTTTTTTTTTTGTTTTGTTTTTTGTTTTTGTTTTTTTTTTTTTTTACTGCCTCAATTTTATTGTTTGTTACTCTATTGTTTAACTTTTAAAATCTTTTTGACCTAGTTTTAATAATTAATATATATCTAGGGATCCATTCTGTTGTCTGGATTCTCCCGTTTGTTGGGGTTCAGAATTTTGAAGTAGTTGCTAATAATTTTTTATATTTTGTGTTGTCTATTGTGATTTCCCTTTTTTCATTTCTAATTGAATTGATGCACATTTTTCCTTTCCTTTTTCCTGGCTAAGTGCCTGTCTGTCGAGTTTATTCTTTTGAAGAATCAATTTTTTGATTCAGTGATCCATTTCTTATATTTTAATTTGAATTCCATGAATTTCTGCTTTGCTATTTATTATTTCATTCTTTGCACTACATTTCTAGTTGTATTGTTTTTCTTTTCCTAGGATTTTGAGGTACAGCATTAGACTAATTATTTGGGTTTATTCTGTTTTTTTAATATGAGCATTCACTTCCTTTTTAGGACTGTTTTCTTGTCTCCCGTAACTTTGTTACGTTTTATTGGTAATATTGTTTGATTCCAGAAGCTACCTAATTTCTTCAATTTCTCATGTGACCCATCAATTATTCAAAAATGTTTCATTTAGGGGGCTGGGGATTTAGCTCAGCGGCATAAGCACCTGCCTTGCAAGCAGGCGGTCGTAAGAGTACCCATAAAAATGAAAAAGACAAAAAAAAAAAGTACCCTGGTACCCATAAAAATGAAAAAGACAAAAAAAAAGTTTCATTTCATTTCCATGCATTTACATAGTTTGTTTGGTTCTTTTTTTCCTTTGATTTTTAATTTCCTTGTACTAGGATTCAAAAATACACAAGGGATAATTTTGACTGTTTCTATATTTACTTAAGCATGTTTGTGAGTTAGTAGACACCCTGTTTCTAAGACAGTTTTGTGTGCTGCTTAGGAAAGCATGTATTCTGTTTCTGTTGGGTAGAACACTCTGTAGTTATACCTTAAAACAATTTGTTCAGAAACATGCATCAACTGATATTTGTATGTTGATTTGTCTAGCTGGTTGATATGTGTATTTATGATATTGTTGTATTGAATCTCTCTCAATATTTTTGTTGATAATTATTGAATCTCTTATGTCCAGTAGTATTTGTTTTATGAAGCGGTCTGTGTCACTATATGGTATGGATACATTTACAACTATTATCTCTTCTTATTGATTATTCCATTAATGAGTATCTAGTGACCGATGCCATAGATAATAACATTTGGAATCATTTCTCTTATTAAAAATATATTATACCAACCTACATCACAAAGTAAAAAGTTTTAGTAGAAAATACTATAATTTAAAAATATTTTTTCTAAAGTTTTTGAGTACAAATATCATTATAGTTTCACTGTTGGTTATATTTTTGGTGTCACGATTTGATATATTCAAAAATTTTCTCAAATAGAAGCACCAATGTGAAACTGATTTTCAAATATAGTGATATACTTTTAAAGCACAGTTGAAGGGCCAGCAATACATCTCAGTGGCTCAGCAGTGCAGCCTGGCAAGTGCAAGGTGCTGAGTTCAATTTTTAGTACCAGCAAATAAATAAACAAAAATAAAAAAGACTTGTCACTGTTTATTCCACCATACTTTTTAGGAACTCATACCACAATCACTTTTAAACATCTTAGAAACTCATGTTCCAAATAGGAATTCTTGGAAGGATGCCCATTTGTTTTTGGAGGATGTTCATCTGTTTTTGTTAGAAAAGAATGAAACACCTCTGAGTTTTAGTTCCTTATGTGACCCTTAAGGAGATAAGTAAACTTTGCAGTGACTAAAAATTATTTTTCTCAATGTTTTGACTTCCTTTAGCACATTATTCACATTTGGTTTTATTCATGGGAAAAATGCTCATAGAATTTAATTTTTCTGGCCTACTACTTTCTATTCTTTTATATATTTTCCAAGTAACTAGTAAGTACAGAGCCTGCCAAAAAATAAAAAGATACATACACAAAGACAAAAAACTTGTATAAATATTTTAATGTAAAATTATTGAGACACAATGAGATTAATACAAGTTACCCTTTACCTCTAAAATTAAAAGAGGTATTTAAAGTGGTGGTCCCTACCTTCCAGACATTTTTTAGCATGGCAAACTTAGGTTGAGTGACCTTCATCATTGAGATTGCTAAACATATGTTTTAAATTTCTTCTCTAAAGGCCAGAAGTGTAATGGGTTTTCTGCGACATGTTTTAGGGTTCCGCATACCAGGATAACGCTGATGAAAAAGCATCATACTGAGAGGGGAGCCGGGAGCTGAGCCGCGCGGAGCCAGCCAAGCCGGAGAGCAGCGCCCGCCGAGCTGCGCTGCACGCGAGCCTGTGCCCTTCCTTGAGCCTGTCCCGGTCCCCCGCCCAGTGGCCGCAGCGCAGCGCTGACGTCACCGCGCTCGCGGGGCTCCCGGCAGCGGGGAGCCGGCCTTTATTTCTCGTGGCAAAGTCAGTCCCCTCTCCCTCACCCTTCCGCCTGGCCCCGGCTCATGCGCCCCCCTCACCTGTCTACCTCCGTGTTTTGCTCCTGAGGGCGTTGCAGGGTGGGGGCGCGCAGGGAATGGCCCGGGGTGCAGCTGGGGGTGTCTGTGGGCTCGGGAAAGGGCGGCGGCGGCGCGCCTCGCAGCCGGGGGTGGGGGGCGGAGGGAGGCGAGGGGGAGGGGACCCCGGGTCCGAGGCTGAACGTGCGGGGTGTGGGAACATCCCGCGGAACCCAGGGCACGCGGAGGGCGCGGGCAGGGGCTCACCGTGTGGTCCCCCAGCCTCCGCCCGCGCCCGCCCGCGACTCCCTCCAAAGCTCCGGGAACCTCGGTGCTCTCCGCGGTCGGCAGCGTTGCATGGAGAGAAAGGCAGCGCCGAGGCCGCGCGCTCCCGCTCCCCCCTCTCCCCAGGCTCCCGCGTCCTTCCTCCTCCCCGCCAGGCTCCCGTGTCCTCCCCCCCCCCCCCCCCCCCCGCCCAGCCAGGCTCCAGTGTCCTTCCCCCTCCCGCCCCCGCCCGCCAGCCACACCCCCAGGGCGGGGTGCGCGCTCACCGGTGCAGCAAACTTGGAGCAGGCTGCCGGGTCCGTGGGGAGAAACTTGGGTTGTTGGAACTGGAAGAGCATCACTCTTCGGGTCCTGGAACCTGGGAGCTGCTAGGGCGGCCGACCTCTCTGGGCAGTGGAAGAAAGCCAGCTGGGCTTGGAGAGTCCTGGGGGCATGGGGAGAACCTGCCTGCCGCAGTGCCTGGGGCGAGGATTGCAGCGGGCCTGGAGGCCCACAGTGTCTTGGTCACAGAGCTGCGGCGCTAGGGATCCGAACCTGGTGGAGTCCCAGGACTGATCCCTGGACCGGGACCCTTGGGGCCTACCTAACATTTTAGGGTGGTTATCTTGGAGATGGTACATAGGACCTGGAATTGTCATATCCATTTCTTTGGCAGGTAACAGGAAGAGACACTTTCTCTGTCTCTCTCGCTCTCTCTCTCTTTTTTATGCTTTAAATTTCATTTGGTCAGTAGTTTGTTGACTGCAAAGGTGTTTCAGGTTTTTTGATTTGCCTTAAGTAAAAATGATAGACAAACTTATAATACAGGACCATCAGAAAACTTTTATTGCTAGTGTTTTTTTTTATTAGTCATTGAGAAACTATAAAAATATTATGCATATATTACTTCCTTTAGATTTCTTAATTCTTATTCAAATCATTATATCACAGGTTCAGTGATTATCTGTGTTTTCTGAAGGTGGGTTGTGTCAGATTTTGTTGCCTTGCCCAAATACTAAAAAAAATTAGTTGAAATGGAAAGACATTTTTGTCTCATGGCAGAGGTTTCAGTCAGATGGTTCCATTGCATTAGGACATTTGCAGGAATATCGTGGCAGGGTCATGGTAGAGGAAACCTGCTTCTCTTATGACAGCCAGAAAGAAGAGACAGCAAGATCCAGACAGGAATGAGGTAGAGACCAAATACACCCTTCAAAGCCAGTGACCCCAGTCACTGCTTTAACTAATTATTAATTACTATAATTCCTAATAAGATCACTCAGCTAATTAACTCCTCAATGGATTAATCTACTTGATGAAATTGGAGCGTTTATGATCCATATATACATTGGCTTTGAACACTCCTAATTAGGGATTAAACTTTGAAAAAACTTAATCTTTAAGAGGCATTTTAGATTCAAATTGCGGCAGGAGATTAAGGTTGCATTAAACTGGACAACCAACTCTGTGGTGTGTGCCACATCTCATGGAAAAGTGCAGTTATCATTAGGAAATGTGATGTTTCTTTTAAAAAGAAGATGTGTGCAAAACACTGCACCCAAAATGACTCCAGGAGGCCAGGGATACATCTCATCTATACAGGGTCTGCCTGCCAAATGCAAGGTCCTGATCGGTTCCTGGTACCAAAAATAAAACAAAATAAAATGCCTCTAAGCTTAATGCATCTGGAGCACTGTTCAGGGAGCAATTAGCAAGTGATCATCTCAAATCTTCATTTACAAATGGTCATACTAATCAAATGATGTTGTTCTTGCTCATTAATTTATATTTGGAAAAAGGGCAAGATAACTTTTTGATAGGACAATTTGCATGTGGTGAGAGGCCAAGAGAGTTTTTTTGAGGGAAAAAAGTCACAGAAAAGAAAAAAAGCAAAAAGGCAAACAATAACAAACTCAATACAATAACAGTATAGGTTTCCAAAACAGGATGATAAGAATTTGACAAAGGTTGTAATATTGCATATTGTTACCTTCAAAGGGTGGCTTAGATTAACAGTTATAGACATGTAAAAATGATCTAATCGTATAAGTATTAACTGTTCTTTTCCAATAACCAATACTATTAATAGTATATTCATTTTAGTTATGTTATGTATATATATGTATATATGCATACACACATATATGCATATATACATATATACATATACATGCATATATGAATGAATTTCTGTTTTGTTTTTCATTTTACTTTATTTTTTTCCTCCTTTCCCCTATCCTAGTTACTTTTCCTCTTTGAGCAGTTAGTTCCTGACCTTACACAGTTTTGGATCATATATACATTTTCAGTTTCTCACACCAGAGAGACAATATTTACACATGTGAGTTTGATGTATTTTATTTATTAGTAAGGTCTCATTACATCGTCTTACTTATAAAAGTCTCAATGTGATTTTTTTATAGCTAAAGAGTATTCCATTGTATAAAAATACATGTCTTTTTTATTCATTCCTTGATTGATGGCCACTTAGGTTGTTTCCAAGATTTGGCTATTACAAATTGTGCTGCTAAAAACATAGGTGGACATATATCACTGTGGTATGATGTTTTCAGTTCTTCTGGGAAAATGCCCAGAAGCAGGATAGCTGGCTCAAATGAAATCTCCAATTCTAGCTTCATAAGGAGTCTCTCCACTGATTTCCACAATGATTGAACCAGCTTACACTCCCACCAACAGTGGAGAAGGGTTCCTTTTTCCTCACAGTGCCTCCCGCATTTGTAATTGGTTGGTTTCTTGATCTTGGCCATTCTTTCTGGGGTGAGATGGAATCTCAGTGTTGTTCTCATTTGCATTTCCTGAATGACATTGATGTTGAACTTTTTTTTCATGTATTTACTTGCCATTTGTATTTTTTCAGCTGAGATGTGTATAGTCATCTCAAATACCCATTTTTGGGTTGGGGTCTTTGAATGTGGGGGCCTGATTTTTTAAATTCTTTATATATTCTAGATAGTATTCCTTTGTCTGAGGTGCAGTTGGCTAAGATATTTTCCCAATTTGTAGGGTTTTCCTTTCATTCTGTTGGAGATTTTCTTTGACATGCAAAAACTTTTTAATTAGGTGAAATCTCAGTTGTTGATTCCTGCAAGTACTTCTCATGCAGTTTGATTTTTGTTCATGAACTCTTTGCCTACTCCTATGTCATACAGATTTCTACCCACTGTGTCTTCAAAATGATTTAGTGTTTCTGTTCCAATATTTAGATCTTTGATTTCTTTTGACTTTCGTTTAGTGCATGGTGATAGACATGGATCTGGTTTTAGTTTTTGGCATACAGAGAATCAGTTTTTCTAGCACCACTTATTAAAGAGACTGTCTGTCTTTCAGTGTACATGTTTGGCCCCTTTGTCAAAGATGAGGTGGTTGAATGTTTTGCTAGTTGTGGCTATATCTTTGAATCTATTTCATTGATCTCCAGGTCTGTTTTTATTCAAGTACAATGCTGATTTTATCACAGTAGCTTTATAATATATATTCAAGTGGGAGATTGTGATGAATTCTGCCTTACCTTTGTTACTCAGAACTGCCTTTGCTATTCTAGATCTCTTCAGGTTCCAGATAAATTTTAGGGATGATTTCTCTAGATCTGTAAGGTATGCAAGTGGTATTATGATTGGCATTGGATTAAATCTGTATAACAACTTTGGGTGAATGAGGTCTAGAGAGTTTTTATAGGGCAATTGTCCCAATTTCTTATTTACATGGGATAGGAGTTTTCCAAGGCATTTTGATAATAATTGAGCCTTTCTCTTTATCCTTTGGGCCACTGTGAGCCTTCTTCACCAGTGTACTCTTATAAATTGAATTTTGTTTTCTGCTTTCTGTTTTCAACAAGTCTACATTCTTGCTGCCTTTTCTCTGTGTCTAGTCCAAATCTCTGTTCAAGACATCATTCTTGTGAGTAGCATTGTTGAAGTCTTAAGCAAACTCAGATTTATTATTCTGTCATTAGAAAAAAATAAGGAAATTCACACATAACGTTGCTCTACTCATTTATTGAATGAATAAAACTTTTTATGAAATGAAATTTTATGTATTTAGTGTATGTGGAAAAAAGAGAGGAGGAAGAGATAGAGAGAGAGAGAGAGCAAGAGAGAGAGAGAGAGAGAGAGAGAGAGAGAGAGAGAGAGAGAAAGAAAGGAGTTAATAAGTTGTGTTAATAGTTTTGTTAATAGTTGTGGCTTGGCAAGTCCGGTACCAACATCTAGTTTCCTAGATTTAATTTAGGTAAGTCATTATAAGTAAATAAGAGCCTTATCCTTAATCATTGCAATATATTTCCAGTGAAAAAGTTTTTGTGTTTCATTCACTAAAAGCAGTCACTGGATGTAAGTTTTAAGGTCTATGAGGATAAGGACTGTGTTTGCATGACCCACGATTATAGCCACCGTGTTGATTCCAGATTTGTTTTCAGAATAGATAATCAATACATTTTAAATGAGCGACAAATTTAATGAAGACTTGGTAGCAAAACTTTCAAAAGTAGCTAAATTTTACAACAGTGCTAGGAAAAATGATATGCAATCATGTGATTTATTCATTTACTAAAACATAAAAAAAGAACAAAAATGATGATACAGAATTTCAGACTAGCATAATAGGACATTAGCAATGGTTAGTATATCGCATATTGTTATCTTTGAAGTAGTTGCTCAGATTATGAGTTATAGGCATGAAAAAATAAACACTGAGGTTCCTTCTGTGTGTATGAGAGTGTTTGACACTGGGGGATAAGAAATAAACAAAAGAGAGTAAGTTTGACTACACGCAGCTTACACTTTGAGTGAGAAAACAACAAGCAATGGGAGTGCACATGTGCTGCGTGACTGGCATCGGAATCGACCACTTCCAAGTGTTCCGGTAATCTTGGGCCTTCCCTGCAATAAAAGCAGTGTATCCCTCCATGTGTGATATAACATGCTTTCGGAAAGGTAGTGCATATTATTTCATAGAGCAAGCCTCCAGAAACCTTGTATGTTTTTCTTGACTGCTTTGTTCTTAGGTCTCTGCCATACTTTGATTTCTGTGCAAACATGCCCAGAGTAGACTAATGTATAAGAAAGAAAAGTGAAATGTGGTTGGCTGCCACTCAAATCAAGTGAAAGTCTGAAAAACTTCTAATTCTCAAATAACTTAAGGTGCAGGGGTAATATAATCCTAGCATTATGTGCTCCTGAGATTTTTTTACCAGTTATGCTGTATTCTACAATAGGTTACTGGCACAAAGCAGTCTTAATATTATAGGTAATTAAATGAGGTAAAAATTAATAGGCAGTAAGAAAGGAACAGGCCCAGGAGGAAGTCAATGTGAAAATGAGAATATATCAAAACAGACTGGACTTATCAGAGACTCCTACAGTGAGACCCAATCTCCTGTCAGGTGCTACCATGCACAGAAGAAAGAAAGAAAAAGAAAAAGAGAAAGAAGCAAAAGAAAGATAGAAATGAAAGAAATGAGAAAGAAAATAAAAGAAAAGAGAGAGAGAGAGACAAAGTGGTGGTACAAGGGGATCCAGGATGACCAGTTGTTCACAAGGCTACACAGCAGCCACAAGGAAACTTGACCTCAGCATTTATTGATGGGGGAGGGGATGATCGGATGACAGTAATTTAGCAGGTAGCTGTGGTTTTACACTAATGAGAATCTTGCCCTGGAGATACTTTACTCTTCATAGTTTTAAACTTAATCTTAGTACATGGGAGAGGATGAGTTGCCCCTATAGGGATAATGGAAAATCTCAAAAGTGTGATACACAAAACTTCAAGCCTCTGTTAATCTCTTATGGAAGTGTGCAACACTAGCCATTGTGATTTTTGGTCCCTAACATGAAGGTGTATCTGAAGAAGGCAAGGCCTCAAGATTAAAATACAATGTATAGATTTACATACATCCCTAAAGGGTGAATGGGACTTAAGATTACATTGTAATTGGTATCATCCAGTCCATTAAAACTAGATATGTATTGGACACCCAGTGGGTGACCCGAACAGCTGGACTTATCCATTCTCAAAATGTTCTTGTTTGAGAAGTCATAGATAACCACGGCTAGTGATGTCAGTCCCATACCCTGGCACTCTGCTTCCTATTGGATCAATAAGAGCTAAGTGGCTATATTTATATTCTTGCTGATTGATTATAGTTTGAGCCATGTTGTATCCACATGCTGGACAAGTTGTATTTCACAGAGCCTTCAGTGACAATCCATTTCTGAGACCCCTCTTGTGTTTCAGAGACTATGTCTTAATAAATCTTTCCTATTCTTTACCTGCTTTGTCTTCTGGAATTCATTTTCAAACTCGGCACATCTGAACACGAGCAGGTTTGGTGTTATACTTTTCCTGTATCATTATCACATTTTAAGTGGTGATCATTGCTAAGGTGAAACAATAAAAATAAAGCAGCTCAATGAGAAAATGTTGAACTCATCACATATTCACTGAGAAAGTGTAAAAAGTGAAGAGAAATTTGTGTAGAAATTAAGAATAAAGTGAGAATTCCAATTTAATATTTCTTTTGGCTTAGCTACACACTAAATAGGCCAGTTTCCTGCTTCCTGGTCTTCTCTCTCCTCCACACTTTAGAAAATTTGTAGTTGTAATTTCTGTATGAGATGTAAATATTTTTAAAAACTCCTTGGCGATTTTACAAGAGTGTTTCACTTGAAGGATAGAAAGGCAATCCCTCTGAAATGCATAATTTGATATAGTGCAAAGAAACTAAATGTTCATATGTGTTGTGTTCTCTAAAATTAAGATTGAATTTTTGAATCAACAGACGTTAAGAGCAGAGAAAGAAAATTTCTGTCTGAGAGATACACAGAAAGGGTCCCACGTGGATTGCCCAAGAAAGCCACAAGATGAGGCAGGTCCAACCTGGGCAAAGTGGGCACACAAGATGAGCAAGAGGTGGGACAGAATTATGGTCAACCAGTAAGATTATCAGTCTAATTGCTCAGGTAGCATTGATTAACTTAAGGATGAGGGCCTTTGCTTGTAGCAGCTGAATTAGTGGCCCCTTCTGGCTTCCTCAAGGTGATGTGTATCCATGCAGAATATCAATCCCTGATGTTTATCTTTAGGGTGTGACTGCATTTGTTTTGTCTTTCCTTTTGAGATCTGGCCCAAGGTGCTAGGTATTTGTTTTCCCTTACAGTTGCAAGGTATATGATCATGCTTATAACTGTCAAGGAAGATAGAATCTGTCCTAATGACTGAACATCTATGGGAGTATAAGAATGTAATATAGTTCTAAGTATGAAACTATCTCCTATCCTCAAAACAAGAGAAAGTAATTTTAAAGGTTCTATATGACATTCATAGAGAAATTTGTATGCTGGTGTTTGAAAACCAGTGTAGAATTTAAATGAATAATATTAATTATTATGATACATAATATTCCTAGTTACAGTTATACATAATATTCCTAGTTAATATAATTCCTAGTTCCACTAGGAATATGATATCAAGAGTAGAGTCTCTGATATAAAGGCCTTACCATTAAGACCAGTATCTTCTTCAAGCATAGGCCACCACACAGATAAGCTGTGAGATACCTGACATAAAAAGATAAAGACATATAAGGAGATACAAGCAGATAATTGTGAATAAAAGAAAGGCAGAAAAGATTTTTAGAATATGGGTGGAGAAAGGACTGAATATATAACAATATAAAAATTTACTAAGCTTTTGGAGTAGCTGAGAGAATGAATTAAATGTAAAGAAGACATCACTAAGAAGGCAGTAGAGAATGTCTGGAGAAACATAGCAGGTATATGACAGTTGGCCTTTTTCTTTCAAAAATGACTTTCAGTGTAGTCCACAGGACAATGAGCATATTTATCTTGTTTCTAGTCTTTTTGAGAAATATTAAGAACACTAACTTTTCCCCTTATTTCTTTTTCTTTATAACTGCTGTTTATTTTCTCTTATAACATTAGAATAATCATTAAATATATTTTCAATATTAATGAGATATGTGTATCCCAGCATAAGATTTAACTACCTGGTAATGATAGTACCAACAATAAGAAATACTGTACAATAGTGACCTGATCCAAATTCGGTTTAGATGTTATGCACTGCCAAAGTATTTACCCTGCTTCCTGGGCTGCAACAATTATCCTAAAAGAAATCAGGTAACAGCTTTTGGTATGGAGTGTTACTTTTAGTTACTTTTCTCTTGTTTCTTAGACAAAATGCCCAATGACCACGTGAAAGAAAGAAAGTGTTTATTTAGCTCACCATTTTTAGACTGTGTTTGTTTCAGTCCATAATCAGCTGTTCCAAGGAAGGTGGCCTGACTGGGGGGCAACAGTTCAAGCTGCAGAAGACAACAAAGCAACAACAGCAAAAAGGGGAGAACAAACCTCTTTTCCTCTCTTACATTGTATGCAGGCTCTCCACCTTCTGCTGGTCTAACACTCACACCCTCTGCCCCTCTCTTGCACAGTCTCAGAACTTTTCCCAAGTGAGGACCCTGACCCCCTGCTGAGTCCCTTAAACTTCTAAACTTTTCAAATTAACACAAACAATATCCTAGAGCCCTAAGGGCATGTCCTCTACACTGTAGGATGTAGAAGTGCTGAGTTATCCATATAAGCTGCTAAATTTCTCTAGTCGACACACTGCAAGGTTTTGGGGAGCAAGAGAGACCCACGGAACATTTGCTGTTAAGTGAATTTTGCTGGATTGACATACCTGGTTCAAATTATTGTAAGTATTGGCTCCTACTGACTTCTCCTCATTCTTTTTTTAGTTGGTGGTGACATTTTAATCACATGGTAGAATGGAAGTCATAGACAAAGCATTCGTGTGCCCTTTTTTCCCACTTATTGCCTTCTGGGAGATGTGTGGATGATGTCTGGTAGATGAAATCCTCATTTCACTCCTCTAAATACATCTTGAAATCCAAGGAGGGACAAAGCAATTAGTTTAAAATAATTCATTCTTTAATGTTTATCCTTACATTCTCTCTCTAACTTTGTCTCCATCCAGGAATACCAGGTTGAATCAATAATCAAAATTGCTACACATATTTTTGTGAGTGTAAGTATCATGTACTTTTTTCATAGTACAGGCAATAAGGGTGTTAAAATATGGAAAAATATACTTAATTATACAGAATTCAAGGAAGTCAAGACATAAAAATGACATTCAAGAAGTAAAGTTACACATATATCCTATTTAGAAAAGAGATATGTTGTAATACTCATAGATGGAAACCAAGTTGTCATTGAATGGGTTCAGACATGCTAAGGACAGATAAAAGGATTCTCTTTTCTGAAGGATAAATAACTTTGTGAGATAGGACAGTTTTTCACCAAATAAATATTTAAGCTATAAACAAAGACAATGTCCTTTGTGAGCACAGCAGAGCATCTATCAAATAGTTGGAAATTATCTGAATTTTATGGAATTTAGCTAAAATTTCAGACTAATTGTGAAGTACTCTGGGGATAACCAATGACACCAGAACATATTCTTTACTACCTATTAAACTACAACACTATGAAGAATTAATGTACTTTTTCTGTATTTTTATAACAAATAATTGAAGCAAGTAGAGAAAAATAGAGGTAAACATAAAGACAACATAGTGCAGAGACACAAGGAAACATTGAAATGTGACTTCAAGGTTTACTTGAAATGATTGTAGCCATTTGACTGGGCAGAACTAACAATATTTGATGATATTAATGGTATGTTAGTTACTAAAATGTATTTTCAAATTATTGCATTATATTCTTTTTGCTGTTCTTACTATTCTCTTGTTTGTAGGGAACATATATACTTGTGTGAGCTGTTCACTGAGAATCTGTAACCCACAGGACAGGCGGAGAGGTCAGCTAGGAAACAGCAGAAGACAGAAGACAAGACTGCAGTGATAGACAAAGATGGATATCAAGCCAAAGGCAACAGCACTGCGTGCTGTCGGGCAACAGCAAAGGATCCCTGTGCATGCAAAAAGAAAGTTGCACAATATGAAGGAAGCAGTAAAAATGAAATGAAGTAGAAGAGACATGCAGAAAGAAAAATGCTCTCGGATATGTCACAATCGTCTTGATTCTTTACCTGGAAAACCTGTATTTTTTCCTTTGTAATTATCTAATATACTTTGTGTCAAAGAACAAGGACCTGAGTTCCACTTAAAGAAGATGAAGAAGTTAACAGATACTGTTCTCGGGTTTTATCATGAAATTAGAAATGAAAATTTTCAGTTTCTGGTAGTCATGAACAGAGAGCCTCAGGTAAGCCCGAGAGTGCAGGCAGACAGTCAGGATGCTCCTGCGCAGGCTCCTCAGGTGCAGCTGTGCTGGTGGGAAAAATCATGCTGTTTAGCCTAACGAGGCAAAACAGAATAAAGGCCAAGGTAATTCAGTAGAGAGGGTCTTAAATGCACAGCTGTGTCAGCTGCTGCCTCCTTCCCACCTGGTCTTCATTTTTTCTCTGTGTAATCTGTTTGCTTCCCTACTGGGCCTGCTAAGATTATCTGATTCCAGGCCAAACTGATAATATTTGTTATGAGGTCCTCCAAAATTAATAAAATTTGAGTTTGTCATCTTGGTGTTCCCTGAACTAAAGTTAACTACCTGTGTCAAATCCTAAAGTACACTTGTTACACCAGCATCAGGCTAAGATGTAAATCTCCATTTGAACTACGGAATAGCTGCACTGCTCTTGAAACGCTACATGCACAGAGAGATGTTTGTTTGTAAGTGGATACAATAGACAGAGTGCTTGTTGGTGTTTTAAAAGCCAAAACCTGGAATACTTTTCTTTTGACTTTACATATGGAGAAAATTACGGTGTAAAATGTAGACAAGAATAAAATAATACCAAGATGAGTAAGTCCATTAAAAATGTAGATGAGCAAATGACTTTAGCATTATTAATGCTGACTGGGAATTTGACTGGCCAAATGAGCATGTTTATACTTGGGACCAATTAAAAGGCTTACCATTTTAATCACTGGCAGAACTGGACATTCAGTGTTTTCCTGGATGACAAGAATTTTCTTTTGTTGTTTTTTCAGTTTGGCTTTGTTTTGGTCTAGTGAACTGCACCAGAGTGTCCTCAGTGTAGAGAAGATAACAATACGCTACCACAGTGTTAGTAACAATATCTTGTTACTAACATTTAGTAACAGTATCTCAGAGTCTCTCCACAGCTTGAGGGGAAAACATTGCTGCCATTCCTACCATGAGGAAAATCTACAGTAACAGAATGTTTCCGGAAGTAGAAACATCCTACCAGTCTGGAACCTCCACGTGGACCCGACCTCTCAGCTTTCCCTGACTCCCCACCAGGGCAGCTGCTGTGTAGGATCCGCTGTAACATACCAACGGCACAGGCGGTGCAGTGCGCTGGGGCTGGACTCATGGAGAATGTCCAGGAGCTTCCCAAGAAGACCCCTCCAACATTACTAGGCAAAAAGGTGGATCAGGAATACCCTCCTAAGCCCCAGGAACAGTTCCTCCTGAAATAATTAAATAGACCCACATCTTTCAGCTTTGATTTTTTTAATCAGCCTGAAAAGACCAGCTTTCAGATTCCCAAAGAAATTGCAAACACATCTTTAAAAAAAAAAATGTAAGTTCTGATTCCACGTAGAGTGACTGAATTGTTGAGTTACTCAGAATTTAAAGCCTTTGTTTAATTACTTGATTCATAGAAATTCCCTTGATTCACTAATATACAATTTAGTCCCCAAAGGCACTCTGATTTTCTATATTTCCCTCTTAAATTTCAATGGGTATTTTTCTATCACAGTGTTATACATTCTCTTATACGACCCTCTACTTTTTCTTTTTTTCAGTATGGGGATCAAACTCAAAGACCTTCTACATTGGTAAGTCTTTTAAAATATTTGGAATTTCTTACTTGTGGTTATTTGAAAAAGGTACAACTGTGAAAACACTTATTACTTTTCACAAGCCTGAAAAGTAATATACAGAAAAAATGCATTATCAATTTTGATATTTAAGCTTAATTCACAAAGAAATCCCCATCACATTTGGAGAAAAAAACTAATCATCAACACCAAGAAAATCCTGTCTTCTACTGTTTCGACCAGCTTTTGTTTCATAAAACATTAATGAAGCCTTTTCAATGACTCCTTTGCAGAGTCTGACATAGTGAGGTCCTCTAATGAATGCAGGGTAACAACCATCTTTGAGTGTAGGTTGTCAGCTGAAAGATGCCATTTGCTGTTTCTGTTTTGGTCCTTTGAGCATGATTTCGCTTCATGTGTGGCCCTACCATGGGCTCCAGTCTTCAGCCTTATGTGTGTATTGCTTCTCATTTCATCCTCAGATTTCCTAAGGATTTCATAGCCAAGCCTCGCTCTTGATTTCTCCTGCTCCCCTGGAGCAGCAGGAGATTTGTGGAACGTTCTCAGGCTCTTTCTGTGCAAGATTTTCTTGTCTTGTTTTGCACTTTTTTTTTTTTTGGTGGTCAATAACCCCACTCTTTTTCATACCTCAGATTTTTAAGACTTTTGTGACAGTTATTGTTTCCTTGCATGGCTTAAAAAGTAGTCAATAAAACTTTCAAATCTTTCTTGGGTCCTTATTGCCTTCCCAGCCCATTAGGTTTTTGCGTAGAAGCCAGAACAAAATGCAGGGAAGAAGATGTAGATATGCAAAATGGCTTTCATAAAAGCGCCTTATGTCACATTTATAACTTCAGTACACAGCTGATTCACAGTTCAACAGCATAATCATTAAAGAATAAGAAGGACAGCAGGGACTGTTTGGATGAAAGTACAATGAAAACCTGTTTAATTTTCTTATCTGTAAGTGTGAAAAATGTTTAGTAAGCTGGAATGTCACAAGAGGAAGCCCAGAGAACACAGGGATAACAAACACCAGGAGGACTACGGAAGAGGAAGTTTTATTATTTTCAACACAAGTCTCTCACAGACATTTTCTTAGATTTATGTGTAAGAATTCCACTGGTTTTCCTGTGATAATGGATATTTCACATATATAATTTATATACTGATTTTGTTTCTTACAGCTTATCACTGGATTGTAAACATGTTTTGGATTTTTATTGATATTTTATTTGGATAATCATCTCATTTGCAAAGAGTGACATCTTTTCTCATTTTCTATTTATTGATATATTTTACATTAAAATAGTACCATGTACAACTGTCAAGTAGGTGTACATAATCGATTTTCTGCTTTTTAATTCTAGTTCATTTATTTTTTGCTGATTATTCCCTTAATTATTTGGTCATTTTATTGAGACACAATTGATACTATAACTACACACATTCACATATACAGGTTGGAGTTTGACATGTTCAACCCTATTTTGTTTTGTTTTTTTCATTTACTTATTGGCCTCACTAGTTCATTCACTGTCATTTTGAATATTAATATTAAAACATAATTGTAATAGGTGTTTGAAAAAATAATTCCTACTTATAATTCTTTTTCATCATTTGCTCTTTGTCCCACATTTATGAGAAATTTGCCATTAACCATCTTTAGTCTTTTAATAGGAAAATAATTTATTTCTCATTGTTGGAATAGCCTTGCTTCACTCACATCACGGTGATACTCTCTTATAAATCCTAAATTTTGTAAAGCAATATTTTTTTTATTTCTGTCTATATCAATGGGAGATATGTGTACAATATTTTATTTCCTTAAATATTTTTGCTTTGCTTTTAGTTTAAGGCTTTCCTAAGGAGGAAAAGGATCCATGATAATGTCATCACAGTTTAGCACCTTTCCTTTTCTTGCTTTCTTCTGGTTAATAACCTGAGTAGTGCTTTCTCAGGTCTCCAGGTAGACTTTTATGGCTGCTTGATGAGGTTTGTGAACGTGAGCTCTGATATGTCACCTGTGGGGCCTGTTCTCTTTGTGATTCTTGACCACTTCTCTCATAGCTTCCTCCAATCTCTCCTCAGACTTCAGGAGAGTCATTTTCCTAAACTTTAAGGATTTAAAATATTGTATGTTTTGTTTTGTTTATTTTGTGGTATTGGACATTGATCTCAAGAATCACTGAACTATATCTCCAGGCAATTTTCAAATTTAATTTTTAGAAAAGATCTTACTTAGGATCTTAGGCCTGGGATGGTGATCCTCCTGACTCTTTACCCTCTCAATAGCTGAAATTATAGACCTGTAGCACCAAAGCTGGCTAAGACTAAGGTCACATAAGTAAAACAATAGCTGTGAATTTTCAGGTGATATTTGTCTTGCTTGATTATAGTAAAAGTTCTCTTGGTGCTGACTTTGCAAAAGTATCTTTTAAATTATTTTGATCATATTCCAGGCTATTGGCACACATTTCATTCCTGGAGATGGTTAGAATATGGTGTTTCTAAAATGAGAAGGACTTATCTTTTCTCGTCTACTTTGGAACTAAGATGAGGTAAGTGGCCAGATACCTCCCCCCTCCAACAACTTGTGTCAAGTGTTCCTCCAAATCTGTACTGTTACATGTTTTATGGATACCCTGTTGCCTTCTCCAGTGTTCATGGCTATCTTGAAACCTACATGTGGCAGAGTACACAATTAATTGTATCTAGTTTTATAAGCAGCATTAGGAAGCCAAAAGTAAATACACTATTTTCTGAGTGGTAAAAACTTCACATGTTTTAAAATCTATGACCTGAAATTTGTTCTATGAATAAACCAAATTGTAGATAACACAGGATGAAAAGTCCTCTTCATATCTTTTAAATTATCAATCACAATTTATGAAACCAATCACATACATGAATAATTTTACACTGCCTAGAAAGGTATCAAAATCATTCCAATACTGTGATTGTAAAATGGACCAATTTTTAAAACTATGACAGTTTACATTTGAAAAACTTGAATAATTACTTTGAAAACCAATTGAGCAATACTTATTATGAGCAGTCCATCTTGGGTTATTTTGGAATGGATAAATTTTAAATTGATATAAAAATTTCTGTATCATAATTCTGTGTTATATGGTTCTTGTCTGACTTTCGCAAATGAAATAAAAAGTATGAAAGCTATTTTTAAAGCATCAATTTTTACTCAAATATTATTTAAATGATGAAAAATATTAATGTATTTACAGGGAAAATGTACTCTTAAATCACTACATGTGGGTAGTATAAGATTCAAGAATAAATACTATAAAGATCAGAGGAAGACTTCACAAAATTGCAAATAAATCTGCTTCTGTACATATTCTTTTCAGATGCACATAGAAATGCTTACTGAGTTTTAAAGGAATACTTCTATTATTTGTGATCAGATAATGTTATAAATTATTTCTTATTGCATAAACTTATTTGTAATACTAGAAAAATGAACATTAAATGTATCAGTAGCTTATGAAGTTGATCAGAAATATTCATAAAATCCTGGGCCTCTGACAGCCCAGTTCCTCGGATTGAGAGAGGGTCACTGAGGTTGGGGCAGGCAGCTGGAGACCTGAGGAGCCCGTAGTGTGTGCTGGAGGCCTGGCAGCTCCTTGACAGGCAGCGAGAGCGATGAGCCCAAACTCTGGGGCTCAGGATGGTGGACACTCACTCCAGCCCAGAATTCCTCCACATTATTTAGAGTTTCCCGGCTCATGCCTGTTACTGGCAGACTGTTCACTATCCCCAGGGGCCTCCACTGCAGACTTCCTCTGGATTATCCATGAACTGCTGGCCACACGCCATGGCACAGGGTTCCGGTGCCCTGCACGCCTGGCAGCGCCTGGGCACGCGGGGCTGCGGGACGGAGTCTTCCAACAGCAACCTGGAAACGGTCACTCTGAGGACAGGGCAGCGCCGAGGGGCCCAAACCCCGCTCTGCTCCATACATGCCAGTCCCCGGTGACTTTTTCTTGCTGGTTAAAAACGCGCCTGCGCCTCCAGAGTCGAGGGGCGCCCTTCCCTGGTTCTGAGTGAGCAGCAAGCCAGGCCGGCTTGGTGAGGGGAGCCCTCTTCCCCGCGCCCTGGGCCTTGCCGGTATTCGCCCTCACTCTATAGCAACATTTTTAGAGTGAATATTTTGTGTTTACTTTTTAACAACATTGCAAAATATAAGTACTTAGTACTCAGTGATAAAGTTAACAGTAATTACATCAAAACATGTTTTAAAGGTAAATAAATTTTCTTAATTTATTTTAACCCGTTTATTTTCCCATTTGCTGCTAGGCTACCCACGAGCAGTGGCTGTGACTCTGTCACTTGCAGATTACAGCAAAGAAATAGAATTCAAAGGGCTGCTGCAAAGTTTGCTCTTTTCACAGGGACAAAGTTTGCAAGACTCCAAGATAAACAGTATTTTGGGGTGGAGCTACCTTTTGTAGTTTCAAGCTTTGAAATCTACCACATGAAAATGTCAAATACTGATCATCATACAGCTCTCTGTTAATATTTACTAATGACATTCCAAAATTATATTTACTTTTATCCTACTTTGTATATGCATATAGTACATATACTATTTATATGTCTTGTGGAGAATTATTACAAGTACATAACACACTTTAATTCCTTTTACAGTGCTCCTTCCCTTCCACCTGGCGATCCCCTTCTCCACTGAGAAAGATCTATCCTCCTAATTCTTATTACCTATCATTTATTTTGCTTTATATACTTTTCCTAACTCTCTCATATAAGAAAAGCCATGTGGTATTCAGCTGGTACATTTGTTTAATGTCATTTAACATTTTGTTCTCAGAATGCAATCATTTTCCTAAAAATAACTCAAATTTATTTTTCTTTGTGGCTAAATAGTAAAATGCTTATATTCAAAGTCCTCAGTAGTACTTCCAATGTTTGCATAACTTAACTTTTATTTTAAAGTAAAATGTGAATAATTCAAAATTTCTAAATGGTTTAAAAATATGAGATTTTTATATCAGTATGGTTAACATATATTATTATGCTTAATAGATATTATAACACATAGTATATTATCACAATACAATATGAGTATAATAGTAATTGTGGGAGTTGGTTTAAGAACTGTTACTAATCAAGGCTAAAAAATAAAGGAAATCATTGCTTTAGTTACTAGCCCATACATTCACATCTAGGAAACATTTATTTGATTGATAATTTTTATTTAAGATATATATTTTATTGTTTTCAAAAATATATCACACTTTAATAAACAGGCAAATTGACAGTTTTTTTCTCAGATTGGCTTCCATGTCTGCTTGAATGTTTCATTTTAAGCAACAGAATAGCATGAAAGTAAGAAAAACATGTTTCTAACAAAAATTCAATATGGTAAGAATAGTAAATAAATGTGAACCAGTTTCTAAGAGTATCTCATGGAGGTATTAACTGGAATGCATAAATCTCTCCACCATAGTTCAGAAATGAGGGGCGGTGAAATAAATGTATTAGTCAATTAAGGTATGATTGTCAGTTCGTGAAAAGAAAAGGTTTAATTTTGCCGACAGTTTTAGAGATTCCAGTCTAGATGAGAAAGACTTAGTAGTTTCAGTCCTCTGATGAGGAAGGGGCAGCACAAGACTGCATGAAGTTTGTGGTGAAGTAACCCTGCTCGCATCGTGAGCAGAGAGACAGCCTGAGTCATAATTCCTCAGAGCATCTGTTCATGATGACTGCACAGCACTCACCAAGCCCCAACTCTTGTTTCTACAGCCTCCCAGTCTCAGGAATCACCTTTAACATGTGGACTTTCAGGGAACATTCCAGATTTGAACAACTAAATACTGAAATTGAATATTCTAAGAAAATTCATCAACTTTTATGTGAATTTGGGTATGTCAATTATTTCTCACTCACCATTTACTCATATTAAAATATATATAATGATTCTGCATTCGTTTCTGCATTATATAATTGTTTTGTGAACTCAAGTATGAAAAAAGTTTTATAGGTTTAAAATGGAAACTCTTATCAAAAGGTTTCCAAATATCAAACATATTTTTGTAGATGTTTTTATGACAATTGCACGGTCTAGGTTGTTAGGAATACAAACAAGTATGCATGATATATATGATATAGATGAATATATATATATATATATATATATATATACTTACTGGAAATGTTCAGCTTATTGATTGTCAGTGTTTAATGTATTTAGAGCATACAATATATTAGGTAGCTTGACAGATATCTGAATTGTATGATTGTTTGAGAATCACATTTGTCGCTTTTCTGTTTGGGGCCAAAAATATCTCTCATTTGCAATCCAAATGCACAGAGCTTCATTTTGGCACATACTTTCAGAGATCTCAGTCCCCCTGGGGGAAAAGCATCACAGAGGAAAGCTGCTACACTCATGGCAGCTGGAAAGCAGAGCAGGTTACAAAGAGCCAAAGAAGAAAGTTTCAGTGACTAATATAGTCCGCAACATTATGCTCTCTTGACCCATTTCCTTAAACTATACCCCACGTCAGAAAAGCCCATTCAAGTACAAACTCAGTATTAATGAGGTTACTGCCCTCACAATCTGACACCTCTCCAGGGGTCTCTGAGTCCAGTCAAGACTACAGTGAAGCTCAACTGATTGAAGTCTATGACTTTATCAATTTGACAATTATACATCTTTAAACTATGATTAATCTCTCAATAACCTTATATCTTTCAAATACATTTGATCTTCAAATGAACCATGACCTCATTCTTTAGCTGGTTCTGCTCCTTGCCTATAACTGTTTTGGAGCATGGTCCATTTTCCTGGCATCTCCAAGTTTCTGTGGTATCCACTGCAGCTTCACTCCACTTCCAGGGACTCAGCAGCCTCTCAGGATCTCGTAGCAGGCAGGGATGCTGGTCTTATAGTATTTTTGCTCCACCAGACCACTTAATGCATCACCTTGAACTCAGCCTTACAGAGTTTTAGCATGTGGATAAACTAGAAAAATGATTTGTAAGAATATAGCATTTTGGTCTCTTGTCCAATTGTCAAAAGAATTCTCTCTTTCCATCAGAAGTCTAGAGCTTCTTGAGTACAATTTTTATTCTAAATCCTTTCAACATTCAGAGCTTCTGAGCTACTGTGATAATCATCTATCAGTCTCTGTTTATGGCTTTCTAGGAGTCTGAAGCCCACATCACCAAATCACACATTCCTCCTGAGAAATAGTTACAATGGCTTCTGAGCCCCATGGTCATGTGTAGTTACAGTAATGACCCCACTTCTCTATTGGAAATTTTCTGAACTGTTCACTTTTCTGTTGCTGGACAAAACTTCCAAACCTCATAATTTAAAAGAAAAGCTTATTTTGGTTCATATTTTCAGAGTTTTCAAATCATGATTGTTTAATTTTAAGGCTCAAATATCATGGCAGTAGAGCATTCACAGGAAGACAGCTCAAAATACCCCAGAAGGGTGGGAGAATGGGGCAAAGCCAAAGAGACTTGATGGACAGATGCAGTCCCCGAGGTCCTGTCTCTGTGCCCTGCTTCCTCGAACTTTACCCACACCCTAAAGCCCACTCAGCTATAAACTCATGGATAAACTTACCCATTGATGAGGTTAGTCTCCTCACAATCCAATCACTTCTTTCAAAGTCTCTTCATCTTTTCAAGTTGGTAATGCAGATGAACAGACACAATTTTAAAAGAATAAATACATATATATAATTTAATATAATATTTTATATATATCACTCAGTAAAATCTTTGAAAAAACTAACGGTTAAATATTAGTCCCAATAGGATAGTACTTGTTAGTGGTTCTGGCATCATGTTAAGATTAAAATTCAGTAATTTTCCTTATCTCATAGAAAGAACTGACTTTTCATTGTTTATCTTTTTTCTTTGTTTGTTTTTGTACCAGGGATTGAACTCACAACCTTGCACTTGCCAGGCAGGTGCTTGTGCTACTGAGCTAAATCCCAGGGCATTGTTTATCTTTTAATCAACAACATGAATGCTAGTTAAACTAGTATTATTGATTGTGGAAGTGTGGAGTTTAATTTAAGAAATTCAGCACGATTTCTTCTTGTGTATGTGTGTGTATATGTGTACCAGGCAGAGTATCAAACTAAAAACCTCGCACTTGTCAATCCCCAGTCCCAACATGATTTCATTTTATTATTTTTCTTTTATACTAGAAAGCAAAAGTACTGCGTTAAGTGACATATACAGCACTTTTGAATTTATAATCACCTCTGCTCCGTGGCATCATAATTATGTGGTAGGTATCTTGTAATTTTAACATTTGCTAGAAAAAAATAATGGTCTTATATGCTCTCATTATGTTTACCTGCAGGATCAATTTAGATGCCTCTTTGTGCTGCTAAATAAAAAATTTAAGAATATCAGCTGAACTCAAAACCTTCTTAGAGGTTTTATAAGTCTGTATTTTGTAGTTCATCTGATTATCACTTATAAATTGAATTTTTACAAAACAGAAAATTTTAAAATTTAAGGCAAATGATACTATTTATATTATCTTATAACTTCAGAGTTTGGAAAAGATATGCGGCCATAAAAAGAAAAGCTTGCAAGAATGTTTAATAATAAACATATTGAGACAGCATGAGTTTAATACATCACATTTAGCTTGTAAAATTACAACAGGAGCATGCCCCACTCAACAAGGAAATTGTACATATTCTAGAAAATTCTAATTTATATTTACATTGAAATTAGGTGTTGCAGGTTAAAGAGTGAAAGTGCTACTTTATTTAAATGAATGCAGGATGCATTGTACCTATTTATGAAGTTGCGCCGCATTCTGCTTTCCAGATGTTATATTCTTGAACTTCATCAGTCCTTCCTGAAAACTCTATTTACCAATCTAAACTATCATCTGTGACAAATTCTGAACTGTTTTTAATCTATATCCCTTTCATTCCACCTTTCCTGATGATTGCATACTCATTTTTACTTTCCTCTAGTGTAAATTCCCCAAATAAAAGACTGCGTTTTCTGGCCTTTAAAGTGACATGTGGCCACTGAACTTAGTTCTAGTCAAATGAAATGGCTGTAGTAGTTTTAGATTAGACCTCCTGGAATTTGAGCACAAGTAGAAAGAAAGCTGTATCAAATATCCTGCGTCCACACTCCATTAACCTTCTGGATGTCACTAGGGTCTCTGTACAACCCGTCATCAACACAGTAGCCACACTGACTTTTATAAAGCAAATTAGATATCATTTCTGTCCCCTGCCCAGCCGCTTTCAAAAGCCATACTTTGATTCAAAAACAAATTTCACAGCCTAGTAAATAAAGCCTCCACGCATTTCTTCCATCTCTTACACCTTTAACCACCTTGTCATCTTTCAGGTCCACTAATCTTTAGAATATTTTCAGGTTTTTAAAATGTGCCAAGATCCTTTCTACTCACTCTGCCTAGAATGATCTCCCCCAGCTCTGTGCAGCTAGCATGCTCTTGTCAAAGTCTGCTCTTTAGGGAGAACTTGCCCAATGAACTGGTTCATCTTTTTACAGTACGTTCAATCATGATGTAGTGTGTGTTCTCTGTGTGCTAACCACGGACTGCATTATTTGTTTATTTACTGACTTCTTACAGAAGCACAGGTTTTTAGCTATTCCTTTTTTGCTGAATGAGAACTCATGTTTGGTCCTCAGTGTAGTAAGTATGTGGTGTGAATGTAGCCACTTGCTGTGAAGTATAAAGCCACTATCCTCTTCCCTAAGAAACAAAATTTTCCTTCCACATAAACCGCACCTGTGGTTTTGCCTCCTGTTACACCCAAGACCTAGCCACAGTGCCTTGTTCTTCTCTGATAGACCCAGCAACAGATCCAGCCACAGACCCAGAAATCTAAAAGGCCTACCAATGGGAGTCCTCAGGGAGGGGTACCCCTGACCCTAGTCCTCCTCCCCAGATCCATAGTCAAAGGACTTGATTTAACCTCTCCTCCTCTCAAATAAAAGCACTTTGTCCACTTCCATTTCCTGCTGACACTTAGACCCATGACCCAGGTGTATTTCACTGGAGGGAAAGAGCCCCACTTTAAATTTTCTTGAGGCTGATAATTTTGTTGATTTCACCACAGATCTTTTCTGCCCTAAAACTTCTACACAAATTAATTAGTCACATATCCATTTTACAAATGTTATTGTAAAGTACAAACTCCAAATTGGCACTATTTCCTGTATTTGATTGGCTAAGCAGTGGGTTTTAGAGTCACCCTACTCCTTGACTCATGTTCCTACATCACTGTGAGATGGTTCTGTGAATTAGATCAAGAATGTCCCCCAAATCTTGCTTCATCACCCAGCCTGCTGGAGTTACAGGTTTGTGGCGTCATTCTGTCACTCCTGCTCTCCTTTTCATTCTATAGCTTGTTTTGTTTATTGAAATGTAACTGAACCATAATTATACACAATATATGAATATACAGTTGCTAATTATTTCATGGCCATAAGTGATTTAAATAGTAATATCATGTACAAAATGATCTTGTAATTTTGTAATTGATCTTGTAACTTCATATCAGATGAAATTCATGTGATGTTGAATGTCTTATCCAAGGTGCCTTGAGCCAGTTAGTACACAGGGCTCTCAGAGATTACAGGCTAGTACAGGAAAGATAAAAACTCACATCTGTTCTCTTCTCCAAATAATTGCCATTAACCAAATCTTCAGCAGTTTCACCTTCAGGAGCTACAGGCTAATCTCATTTTGTGCACAGACTTTGGTCTATTATATGATTAAAGTTAATTTGGTGGAATGTAGCATTGACTTTTGTGATTTACAGTTTTCACATGAGATCGGATTAAAACTAATTGACAGATGATAAGACCTTATTATTTATTGCTTCTTTCCTGAACTTTATTTATTCATCTTCCATTGTGCTGAGAGCTTTTGTTTCATATAATAATTCACTTGAAATTGTACCTGAGCATTTACTTCCAAGAAACTTTACTTCCTAAAATAGTGCATCTTAGGAGTCAACCTAGAAATGAGCAGCTGATTTCCAAATGGAAAGGAGAATCTCAACACTAAATACAAGCCATGAATTGACAGCTATTTTGCAATGTAATTGCTAGGGCTTCATTCATAGAGGAAAGGAATGTGCTATATTAAATGATGAGTATTTTGACAATCTAATGCTGCACACATTTAAGATAAATGGGAGAGACAGCAGTTATAAGAACATTAGAATAGAACAGGATAGCTGTTTCTAAATGCCGATGATCAATTTACATGAGAATAATAGATCTTTTAATCAACCATGTACAACAACTTATGAAACTCAGAACAAGCCTGTAACATTTTTAAAGAGCCTCATCTCCTGCTTTGCGAGTGTAAACATAGTTTAATATTGGACATAAGGCATAAATAGTACAAATTCTTAAGTCAAAACAAAAGATGGAGCCTACGATAATAGAGATGTAAACAAAGTATGGAAGAGGAAGAGACAAAGTTTCAATAAAATTATTAGTGCATGTTTGCAGCATGTAACTGTTACATATGTATTATCATACAAACACATTTTTCTTTTCAAAAATTATTTTTGTGAACCTTTTTGTAAATATGAGAAAATGAACATCCCGAATACATTGAATACAACAGTTTTTGTTTACAAATCATTATTTTGCCTATCACTTTGTGATACATAACTATATATTGCATGTGACTAAACTTTTAATATTATTTCTTGGAACAATATCAAATCTTAATAATAGTTCAATATAAAGAGCAGTTAAATATCATATGGTTTCTCTTATATGAGAAAAGACCTGGTCAGGATATCTCTACAGATAACCCCCATGACGAATGTAATCATAATATATTGCAAACATATTCTAATGAAAATATTTTAAAACCTAAAGAGCACTTACATTCTGCAAATGCATACATACGGGTCCTGAGTAGGATAGAATGCTATTGCAATCAAACATTAAAATCCAAACATCCTCACCCAAATTCCTATGATGTGGGTAGTGACTAAAGACGGAGTGATCACTTGCAGCAGAGCCAAGGCCAGCCTGAAGAACACAGAGCGCCCGAGGCAAGTCACTTCACTAAGCAGCTCTGCTCTCAAGAACACTGGGTGCCTGAGACATTGCACATGGAGAAACTATGAGGCAGAGGTTCACATGAGACTCCACCTCCCAAGTGGATAAATAAACGTGCCACAGCTGTTGGCACTCCCGCTCCTTACACCCTTCTTTTTTCTTATTTCTGACTGGCAGAGAGGGCTTCCTGTGGCCTCAGGTTCCTGTATTCTGACTTTGGTTCTCTTTTCTCCATTCTCTGGTTAGATGTGTGTCCCCATCAATCAAAATAGACGAGAATGAAGTAAAAGCAGTAGGATGAATTAATCAGTCCATACTTTATAATGAAAGCACTGTGCACTTTAAAAGAATTTTGTAAATAAATAATAAAGATCTGTATTAGTATATTTTGATAATTTCCACTTTTTTAGCTAAACAAATGGTAATAAATTTTCACCATACCGCTGTGAAATTTTCCTGACCATGTGAATAACATTGTGCTGAACAAGTTGCTACCCTAGCTTGTGGTTTAACCTGTGTTCAAAAGCTCTCTACTTTTTCACAATCTTTTAGCACCCCATGTTTAAAGCTCAATTTCGGGAAAGTTTATGCTTGCTTTCAACATTTTCAGAGACTTCTGTCTTTTGTTGTGATTTGTATTCCAGCTCTCATCTCCTTTATATGGGTTGTTCTTCCTTTTCCTTATTTTTGTGTTGTGTCAGCAACATGGAATGAGAGTGTATCAGGAAGCTGTGGGACAGAATATTCATGTTCACAGCAAGTGTGCAGCCCTGCTTCTCCCTGAAACAGGCCTGCACCCAAGACATAAGCAGCAATCCCCAGATGGGACTCAGCTTTGATCTTACTAGGGCTCCCTCCTCCCTACTGACCCAGCTGCACACAGAACAGGCCCAGTTAATGACTGCACTTGGTGTTCCTGTAAGGAAAGGGGGAAAAAGAGGACAAAGGGTCAAATGGTTAGAAATTTAATCTCATTTGATGCACACTAGAAAGTTCTTGTATTACAGAATTTGGTAGTTTTCAATTTTATTTCTTGCTTGCTTGCTTTTTTTTTCTTTTCTTTTTTTATAGTAGTACTTTAACATTGATGCCAATTACCTTAAGCTAAATATCTTGCAATTTTACATTATGGTTTACTTGTTTCCTAAAATATTTACAATATACTAGTGACTGTGGGAGGCTCTGTTGTATTAGAAATCA